GATCAACCAAATATGACATTAAATGCACATCTTATTTTACAAACCAGGACTGGTGTCTGTAACAAATTCTTCTAATAATACAAATATCTAAATTTCTTTGTTGTATTAGAAGTGCATTTCCAGTAGAAGTGGATATAAACCAAAAAAATTATTGTATGCTTGATCATTAAAATATGATTTTATTTTGACCCTAGACACACACACCTCGATTATTTATGTGAGTACATATTATTTTCACTGTGAAACATGTAAAATAAATAATGCTCTATAATTTTGTTGGTTACAGAACAAGTTTTCAGTATGGTATAATGTCTTTAAAAAGAGTTAATTATAGCAAAAAAGAACTTGAAAAAAGTAGGGAATCTAGTACATCAGAAATAAAAGGTATGAAACTGCAATTTTGTTATTAATTACTTCAAGGAGGTTATGTTTTTGCATACGTCTGTCTGTCTGTCTGTCTGTCTGTAAGCAGGATAACTCAAAAAGTTATAGATTGATTCTCATAAAATTTTCAAGAACGACTGCCGTAGTACAGGGACACTTTTAGTTGTTGTGTGGGTTCAGTTGCCATAGAAACAACAATTTTAGGAATGGTTTTTGATTCATAACTCAAAAAGATAAGAATTGATTGACTAATGACTATTCATTGCCAGATAAGATTTGTTTGCAAGAAGTTTTCCATCAAACATGAACCAGTTGCCATGGGGATAGTAAAGTTTTGAAGAACTTTTCACTATTGAGTGAAACTAGTCAAGACTCAATTAGGTGTTTTTCTTTTCATAAAGAAATTAAAAGTTGTATCAATATCATGAATGTGTTTTGTCTTTAAGAGACATGATATAATACAATAGGAAAGAGGAATTAGTGAAAATAGGTAAATTGTAATTGTTGCGGAGGTTTGTGCTATCGGAGTGCCTTCTAGTTTATAATAATAGTTTATTGCATTCAAAGATCTTCAGTCATATGCAAGTACATGTAATCTCACAGTCACAGTCACAGATGCAATGAAGACGAAATAACAAATGTGGAGTAACTGCACCTATAAACTAAAATAAACGTGTTGTGCCATCTAGATTAGTAATTATTGTTTTTTCTGTTTGAGTTGGTAGCTTTTGAATGTGGCAACTTCCTGCTGCCATGTGGTTGAATTGCTAGATTTAGAAGATCCAGGTGGTAGTTTCGTCATCTTGCTGTTTTTTTTTTCCCTCTTCTCCGAAACCACTGTCTTGACAACATTGATATGTGAACAAGAATATACGCCTTTGCCAAATAATTAACCCAACTACTATTACTGATTTGCAAACTTCCTTTCTTTACAGATGTGTTTGTATGGTCCAATGAACGAATAATTAAATGGGTCAACTCTGTTGGCCTTCGAGATTATGCCACTAACCTAATAGAAAGTGGTGTCCACGGAGGGCTGATTGCCCTTGATGAAAGTTTTGACCATAATGCATTAGCGTTGGCGTTACAAATTCCTACGCAGAATTCACAAGCAAGGCAAATTTTAGAACGAGAATTTAGCAATTTACTGACTTTAGGTACCGATCGGCGGATAGACGAGGTATGTATAACCAAATAAGTTGTCAAAACTGATCAGGAAACCCACTGGCTGTCTCCTTTGCATAACAATGCTTGAAGGCATAGTCAAAACAAACACTGCTGGCAATGTTCCAAGGAATATTACAATGTTGCAAGGTATATTCCTAGGGAGATAGTGGTTTTTATGATCATTGTAACCTTTTGAATGCCATCATTTTTCCAGTCAAAATATTTGGCGCAACATTTAGTATTATGGTTTGTATCTTTTTGTATAAAATTTGAACCGGATGAACAAAATACAAATTTTGTGAATTGATAAAAAAAAAAACAGACTGATTCTATAAACCAAATAGTGATATTGTTATTATATAACGGCAATAATTGTTATTGTTTTATGTTTGTCAGCGAAAACGGTGGAATTCAGCTGTCCCTGTACGACAGCGTTGCAGTTGCATTTGAATGTGTCTTCTTTACTTGGAGATTGTTCTACATATTTGCATCAAATTCAAACACTTTTGTTTACATTGGTAGCAGTAACATTGGTACATGATGGAAATAGAATCACATCAGTGAACACACTTGCGTGGAGATGAATCACCGTAATGCCTTTGTAATAACCACATGATACTATACCTCAACATCCTAGAGTAATCACGTTAAAAATAAAAAATAAAAAGTTCGAATTGCTGTTCAAAGTCTTATGTCTTAACACTCATATCTGTCCATTTCCCCAAAACTCTTTGTATATCCTTGTTTCCACTTCCCTAGGGTGATGGCAAATTTAGGCGTGCACCATCGTGGAGGAAAAAATTTCGTCCCAAAGATGCCAGCGGTAGTAACAGTACACCGAAAACTAAAGAAAAGTCATTATCAGATATGCAGATGGGAATGACGGCATCGTCAAAAGCGATGGAACCCATGCCAATGGATCCATACACGGGCAGAATGGCCCCTGGATCACCCCTTCACATGGCGAGAACAACCACGGTGCTGCCAAGTCAGCGATTGATAAGTAATACGCAACAGTCGTCAACGACAACAACATCAACAGGAGATCAAAATGTCAGAACGTTCTCCTGCTGATGAATACTGACCTCAGGTAAGGAAATTTCAATTTGCTTCTTTTCTTTTTTTCCTCTTTGAGCTTTGCTGACAAAATGGCGGGTAGATCCATTTTAAAATCGTTTAGTGTTGGTGTTTACATGTAAAATTGGTGTGGAACCTTGCTTCTTGAAAATTGCAATGATGGTTAGGTATTATCATTCAATGTTTATATTTACTCTTACCTTTCAATTTTTTCTTGTTCACTTTTCAGGTTCATTTATGAATTTACTTTAGAATGGAAAATACAAGAATTGTAAATGATTAGATGCTTATTAAAATGAAAATCATGATATATAGCAGGTATGACGCCGGGGTTTGAAGAACAAGAGACAAAGAATAAAGATACAACTAACCGTATGGCAGCTGATTACTTCCATTCAAGCCAGGTCACCCCTCTGCACAATTCAGGATCTGGCTCTGGGTGGATCCATTTTCCATTGTAGGGGTGGAAAGGTTGTAAAACAAGGACGATTCACTACTGATCGAAAAGCAACAATTATTTGTTTTGTTTTGTTTTCCGTGTACTCCCTACCAAGTCAGTATACAGTGTCTTCAACTTTGACTTTTCTGATATTTCCTGAACTATAATTCAAATTATACTTAATTTAATCGATCAATTATTCAATCAATCAATCAAAGCAAACCTCTACAGGATTAATTCTGTGCGAGAAATAAAATCTGCAACAAAAATCAACTTTTTATTGCATTTTATTTTGCAAAGTGTGTTGGTTCATTTTGTTACACTAATATTCATTGGATGGTGCTGCATGTATACACAAACAGGACTCTGTGTGAACCAATCATGTCTTGTCTTACAAAACCCTGTGCATGCCCAACCTAAGTTGACATGGTGTCAAAGACAATAATTGCCTTTGTAACCATGCTTTTGTATTTTCTGTATGAGCCAATCACGTGATCCCAATAAAATTTAATGACAATTTTTTTGAGAAAAAAAAGAATTCTTTAACTTACTTTTTTCCTATTTTTTCATTTTCTCAAAATTCCATTTTCTTCTATGAAAGTAGCATTTTAATTTTGTGGTATTTCTATAGATCCATCAGTACTATTTACCTGTTTCTATGTTTCCTGAGTTTGAAGTCGACTGAATATTGGACTTGCGTTATTCCATTGATTGATTATTGGTTGATATTTAGCGACATGAAGCCTTTTTCTGTCCAAAGACTAATACAAAATATATATATATATATTATATTTCAAACAGTTAGCCAAAGCCATTTTTTTTTCTGTTTTTATAGATATCTAATGACAACTGATGTTGACTCGAGTATGTACACACGCATACCACATTCTGTCGTGTCATTTACGGTTTGAGCAGAGGGGTAATTGGTCACAAAACTGCCTATTTCATTGTGATCAACACATTTTTTTTCCCCTCTGTCTGCTTTATTTATATCTCACTGTTTATGTTAGTGGGCTCAGGGATCAGAGTTTTCTTGAATTAAATGGTCGTGGCTTAGCACAAAGCTACCATGTAGTTTTAACAAATTTGAATAACTTCAGGGAAGTTGTCGCAAGATACGAGTCGCTTTTATCCAGTTTATTTTTTTTTTTCGCCATGTAAATTATATATTTATCTGTTTTGTGTAATTACCTGGTGCTTCAGCAAGAATATGCCCCCCTCCCTCCTCCCTCGTACCCATTCCTCGTGAAATAAAAAAAAATTACAAAATACTTGGAACACCAGTGTTGATTCAAAGAAACTTTGATGTCTATGCCCTGTTGGTATGTTTTCAAATTGCCTCTGTATGAAGCAATGCAAAATGGTCACTTTGTTGTAGTTTGTGTTCTTTCTAATTAATAACTTGTATTTTAAGTTCAACTTTTAATGTTTTTACATAGTTATCTGGTTCCACTGTCGACTGTTGAAAACACTTCTGCTTCTATTCTATGCAGGCCTATTAATTGAGTAGTGACTGGAAAGAAACACCAACAAATTAACAACTTCTTGGCATGATGGGTAGAGCAGCAAATAGTCTGTTTTTGTGTGTGTTCTTGTTTCTCTTCTCTTTTTAGAATAAACCTTTGCTTTGTTTGTTTGTTGTCTGAATATGTATTTTAATAAATACTGAATGATAATTCAGGTGAAATTGTGCCAAAATTTTGCTGCTTTCTGAAGGCTAGCTCAGAGAAGGAAATGTGTTTGTTTGGTGTTTCTTTCAGATGCAGTTGCCTAGGTCAAGGTTCAAAATTGAAAATTTCAGATAAATTTGAATTGTAGATAAAATGCCAATTTTCTCATATATTGTACTTATATTCAAATATTTTTCACAGCAATAATGTAACAGTGAGGAAAAGTCATTGATACAAAAGTGCTCTCTTCGGTGGATTTTACCCCACTTGTTTTCCTTTTAGTGGAATGAAGTTTTGTTTGCTCACATGGATCATACCATTTTTATTCAAGGAGGTGAGGAGAGAAAGTTTGAGGGGTGTGTGCTACTTGTGGGTTGCATTCTGCAATTCCTTAAATATTTTAGTGTTTTTTAAAAAAAAAAACTAAAAATTTGTCCAATTTAAAACTCTTTCATTTCAAAAACTAAAAACAAATTTTTATTCCCCAAAATGGAAAAATCTCACGTGATGTAATATCATGTCACAAATTGTTTCATAATCATCCAATCAGCTGTAGTATAACAAAAATCATGTGATCTCTTCAATGAATGCTCATTACTGATTGGCTGTCAAGGCAAGGCATATGCTTGAACATGGTTGGAGTGTTTGAAAGTGATGTTAATTAGATATATGTAAAATAGTGATTGTCTGAAGGTAAGATGGGCAGCAGAAATTTACCTGTCAGAGTTTCAAGACTTCCCTCCTTAATGTGTATATATATATATTGCATAATTCAAATAATTGTATAAAGTCTACAAAATTTTCTTTCTTAATAAATATTTTCCAGAATTTCTAACTGTTTTGAGGGGCGGTGGTTGTCGTCATCGCTGTGGGTCCCATAGCGACGTATACAACGCATACAAAATGCATTATTTGTTCACACGTAATTTGAACACTCGCAGCCCTGACCACAATCCCTCTTTGATCATGTGATTCTGTCTTGGGTCTCCAGTCTTGAAACTTTTACTGATGCTGAATAATCTGCTTTCATCGGAAAAAAATAAAGATGACTGTTCTCATTTGGAAAATACTGCATTTGTTCTACTATAAGCGAATGTAATTAAAACGCAGCAGTCGGTGTTGTGCAGCACACATTCATGGCACATCAACACTTCATCAATATGCTTATAATAAAACAAATTCTAATCGCAGTCTGGTTTAATGTCCTTTTGAAATTTGTCATTTAATGGGATGCATGCATTGTGTGCCAAAAATGAAAACATGCCCTGTTCTTGGTTCAATGAGTTGATAACCCAAGAGTTATTTTACTGGATAATTTAGTAGAAAAGTTTCTGTGTCAAACTAAGAATGGACGTCCTGTTATTAGTCCTTGTGTGGTTCTTTAAGAGGAGTGAGGTGCTAATTACAAGTATAATCGTCATTGGCAACGCATAGTGACTGCGTTAAGAACTGCAAAAGGGGAGGGGGGTATTTTTTTTGTGGGGGGGAATTGACATTGGGTAGCTGGTCATAGTTTATCAAGATGGAAAACAGGTTCTGTTTTCTGGATACATTTTTGATACAAATTCATGAATGCGGCAAAGTCTGCAGACAGTGTAATATATGTACAATTTACTAGGCCCTGATGGATTAATATACCTCATAATTTACTTTAAAAACAAACTTTATTAATCCATGAGGACCTAGATTTATTTCAAAATTTGATACTTCCATTGTTTAGGCGACTCAGTTCATTGCTCTGTGTATCATGTGACCAGCCTTATGAATATTCAATAGCTGAACATTTATGAATATTCATTAGTTGTTTTTTCTTAGAAATTTGAAAGAATGATGTTATAAATTATTCATTGAGATATCACAAATTATGGTTTATACCTGTAATAATAAACCCACAACAAACAGAAATAAAACTGTAAGTTATTCTTTATTATATTTCTTGTGTCTGTGTTTAAAGTCAAGCACTTCACTCCCATACCCTAATTGTTTTGTTCAGTGACAAGTACAATTCTGTCCACTTGCCAGTGAAATATTGAACTTGATTGAAACTGTATTGTGCCCATTTGCCTACCTTGCCTGTAATAATAATGGTGAAATATAAGGGACCCCGATGTCTGTCGTCATTAACATTTTCTTGTAGTTTCTGTCCAATCTTTCTCAAACTCAAAAATATTGTTGGGGACGTATCGAAACCAGTATTGACCAATCTGATTCAAACTTGGCTGCATATGCTCATGTCATTATCTTGCAATTCAATCAAAGATGGATGACTGGTGGTCATTTTGTTTTTACAAAAATATCTAAAGCATTCAAAACAAATTTGATTGACTTGGTACATATACACATTATAATTTCCATCCAATCCAAAGTAAGCAAAGGTAGTTTTATCATTTACGATTCCTGCAGAAATTTCTTACTGTATTTGACATGCATGTGTTTCTTTCTTCCCTACAATAAACTTGTCTGCATTATATATAGGGTACATAATAAAAAAAAATGACACAGTGAATGAAGATGTAATTATATAGGAATTGTAATGCAGGATGCTAGCTCAACTCAGTTTATTATATGTTCTAATGTAAATGCATGCCACAACTACATACACCTTGGGTGTTGATTCGTCTAAACTAGTTATTGGACAGTTGGTAGTCCAATCTAGTTATTGGGTAGTTGCTAGCCCAATCTAGTTATTGGATAGTTTGCAGTACAACCTTGTACCTATTTAGTCTTACCTACTTATCGGTTAGTTAATAGCCCTACCTAGTTTATGCTTCGTTCAACATAGTCATTGCGTAGTTGGTAGTCCAAACTTGTATCTGTTTAGTCCCACCTAGTTATTGCATAGTTGGTAGGCCAACCTTGTACCTGTTCAGTCCCACCTAGTTAATGTGCAATTGGTAGTCCAAACTTGTATCTGTTTAGTACCACCTAGTTATTGTGTGGTTAGTAGTCCAAACATATACCTGTTTAGTCCCACTTAGTTATTGTGTAATTGGTAGTTCAACCTTATACCTGTTTAATCCCACCTAGTTATTGCGTAG